GCGTCCTCGAAATTGTGGAAGAGTGATTCGAATGGTAGAAAGTAAAAATAGGAGGAATTTTAAGGAGAGAATTCGAACAGGTGACGTTCGGAAATAATGAAGTATCTAAAAACAATGGGACAGCGAGAGGTTGCCTAGAAAGCGAATGTTTCGGTAAATGTCGCAATTTAGATGAAATAAACTCACATCATACTTTAATATATTATAATTTGTTAGCTATAATAAGATATACGTGTTTATTGTACGGCTGTCGAAGCAGCAAGAAGTACGTCGACAAACAGAACAAACACACAAGGCCCGATATTGTGTCGCTCATCGTTTCATCCAATTGCACAGACGATGCACGATTAGTATCGTCGGAATGTACGCGCGTACCGTATTACAATTGAACAGTTAACGTCTAGAGTCCAAACGCAGATCGCTGAATGACATTCTGGGTCATCGATGCATCCTATTCTTCGATGGCTTCATGACCCGGCCTCGAAGGACGATCGTAAATCCGAGTTCGGTGTCGTAAATATCAAAGATAGGTTTCGCCGAGGCATCGCTTTTTAATTGAAATTTTCGCCATTAATTGGCCAGAGATGGGCCCGGCTAAAGAGCCCCGCGGACCGCGCGCGACGCCGTTCGCCGACGAAATAGGCCGTCGGTTTTATTTGCTCGCGCTGTTTTCCGGCGGACGATTCAATTAGGCCGTCGATAAAATCGTGTCCAGTTTGCTGGAAAAAGGAAGGAGAGGAGGGCACGGTAATTGGGCAAAACGCGCGTACCCCGAATTTCGGCAGCTAATGGAGATTTATTATGGCTATACGGTTGGCCTCTCCGGTCGGGCCGGGCCGGGCCGGGCCGGGACCGAGCGTGCACGAAGCAGCAGAGGCAGAGGCAACGACGACGACGGCGACGGCAGCTGCGGCCGAAAAAGACTTTCACGCTGGCCACGTTTCATTTTTGCTGGCACCGCTGCGAACACATTGTTACGCTTCGCGCGGAATTTACAACAATAGGACAGGTGGACGGATTATACCTGTGTCCGGGCGGTGGACGTCGCGACGAGGAGGCTCGCCGGATCGAACGATCTAGCCTGAAATTAATTGGAGCGACCGTTGCCTGCGCCTCGTTTCGATTAAGTCGAACAAAGTCGTCGTCGAAACTCTAATTCTTCTTTCTTCCCCCCTTTGGCAGTGCTCGTTTCGCGGTCGACGCTCGAGGAAGCTTTGTTGTCCTCATGGAAATGAAAAGCTGCGAACGGTTGTGAGGGCCGCTCGGTGTTTCCAGACGCTACGAAATTTCTCCGCAGCGACCAGAAACGTTCCCGAGGAGCCACGAAAGTTTCGCGGCTAACTAATAGCTCTCGGTGAGCCACGGACACGCGTGTTTCCGCGTGTGCGTACGGTCCGCCGTGTAACTCGGCGGGCTAATGATGATGACACTCTTATATCTCGGGGAGGACGCGGGTCATTTTTCAAAGGGCAGCCAGGGAGAAACGGAGAAGACGCGGACAGAGACGGAGACGGAGACGGCGAGAAAGAGGGGGAGAAAAAGAGACGGAGTAGGACAGCTTCTGGACGCGTAGAAGGTGGAGAGCAACGGCGAACAGGGAAAACAAGAAGAAGAGCTGCCGTTCTCTCTACGCGCGCAGAAGCTAATGTCCGGAACGACTCCTAAACCATTAGACAGACCGCGGAGGGATAGGGCGAGGGGGGAGTGAGGGACGACGATTGCCCTCTTTCCTCCTTTCAGCCCGGCAGTGTCTCTTCGCCTTTGCGCCGCTGCTGCGTTGTGTTTCGAGCGCAGATAGGACAGAGGTAATTTCACAGAGCAGGGGACCAACGGATAGAGGAGAATCGTCAACGAGACCGACAGAAGATGGGAAACGGTAACGAGAAAATGATACGCTGCCTAGGAGACCTTGATCATCCGTCTTTGCGAACGGAGAAAAGTTAATTAACCGCTGCGAAACGGGAGAGCGATCGAATTAAGAAAGAACAGATTATCGATAATTTTGTTGATTAAACGCTGTTCGAAAAACGAAAACGAAATATTCAGGATATGATAATGTTTATTGTATCGTTCGTACATTTTACACGTTTTCGGGTTCGTCGCGGACACTGTTTAATTCACGCTTCTAAATTATTTATTAAATTATCAACTTTCAAGTATAGAACGGTTCCATCTGCTATAACAAAGAGTCGATGGTAATTTCGTATGTAATCTACTGAACGTGAATTGTTATTCGTTGGAGCGAAATAAAATTTGATCCTTCTGACGTCAAGGTTTTGAAATGAAGGTAAACGAAGGCGTACAAGAAACAAAAATAGAAATAACAATTGTGAGTGGGTTAGTTTTTGCTCATTTTGCTCATTGTGAGAAACATGGAGTGTTATTGTTTACTAATATGGGCATCGTTTGATGACATGTGTATTGTTTATCGACCAAATTTATTGTTAAAGTAGTCTAGAGTCAAGGATGAGAGTTAAGAGTTACGGTAATTTTAAGTAACTTTATAATTTATTTCACTTGTCTTTTCAATATTTTCGCGTGTATAGATCATATTTTAAGTCACAGGTCAAAATTTTCGAAATTGTGGCTTACGCCGTTGTGATTTGAGCCCACGCATTTGTAAAAAGTAAACGAAGATGTACAAGAAAGAAAAATTGCCTTGTTCTATTAGGGAAATTATTAACACTCGGGTCAATTTGGATCCAAAGTATAAATATTGTCGTTTAAGGAGTGAAAGAACGTGTTGCATAAAAATTTATAAGTAAAATCGTAAATGATCCTAAACATTCTCAGTTATATTTTTGTCAAAATGAGTATTAAGGACGAAGAACTGCTAATCAACGTAGCTGTGAAATAAATCGTAGTGCAAAGGACTAAAAAACTCCAGTATTTGTTCTTCTCGTTCGACTGCTGTTCCATTGGTGCTCGTATTATAGTTCCTTATTTCTTCTTCATCTATTTTTCATATGTTTTAACATATTCAATCGCCTTTGCGTTGAACTCTCCTTGAACTATCTTCTCATTCAGTTAATTTTTCCTTTATTTTCGAGCGCATACCTCTGCATTTCATGTACTATGAATATTATTATATGTACATATGTTATTTATTAATTTATTTACGGGTATAAAACCGTTGGTACATAAAGTTAGTTATACATCATGAGTGGTATAATGCTTAACGTCGAGCTGGATATTTATTTACATTTGAGCCGTTTATTTTGAAAGTGTAATAAGTCACTTTACCGTAATGAAAAGTGGTGATTTTTTAATGTTTATACGAAATTATTTATACTGAGAAAAATATCAGTATCCTGAGATAACAAATACAAGTAAATCTTCTCGAAAGTTAGCATCCATATTTTTAAACGTGTTAAAACGCAAACCCTTAAATATCTCGACTTAAAAACGAAGTGACTTATTAGCTACTTAGTGACTTAGCCACTTTCAAAATAAACGGCTCAATTCTTACTCTACAATTATTGAAATTATAAAGAAACATCCATCGGAAACCATTCAATAAATTTATTCACCCCAACATATATTGATGTAAAATTGGAAAAAATTCAGATAAATTCAATACTATAATTTGAATTGGCCCAACAAAGTACAGTAAATTCCCCCTAATTGACGCTCAGATTTTACACAAAAATGGACAATTTGGGAAGAGGAGATACGATTATTCGA